CAGGCTCAAGCGTGTGTATTTTGGATCAGCGGATGATCGGTTAAGATAGCGTGCTTTGAAGTAACCAGTCGACAACGCTGGACTGTGGTAAAGCGGATTGATTCGAAGTGTTGCTAATATTCATTTTGTAGCCGGTCATATGTTTTCAAATTGCGATACCGAGCCACCGTGTTAGCGCGGTCCTGACGAAATGAATCACGAGTGATATTGGGAAAAAATCTCCAGTTGGGAAAGCAGTCCATTTACAAGCAGTGTTTTGGTCTCGGGTTGTGCTTGTCATCTGTCCGATTCAGCGAGTCTCTTGACGACAAACACTTGGGAGAACAAAATGTCTTTGATGTGGTTGCCTGATGGGTTTTTCCGGATGTGAACTCTACTTCTGATTATGTCTACTCTGCTATGGTTGCTCTGACTGTGCACCACTTGTTTATAGTGTCGCAACTAATGGCTTTCTGTGTCAGAAAAGGGTATAATGAACAGCCATTCACTAGAAATGTTTCGATCAGAAAAGGCGCTTCTCATACGGGGTGATTTGTTACCGCTTACATATTTGCTCTATGTGGACACGTTTCAAGTTTTATTACACCACTTAGGACAAGCACACCAAAAGAGCATTTGTGACCTCTACTTTTCAGAATTATCTTTGGTTTTGTGTGCATGAAATTTTTGCACCGGACTTGTCTCGCTTGAATAGTTCCTTCATACAGTTAGTCCCTCGCGAATCCTGGTCACGCTTGAGAGGACGAACCAAATGACATTCGTTAGTGTGACTGGGGTTGTCTTCTACGCATCCTCTTTGTAAACATCACGCCAACTAAGCACGAGGCAGCATCGGACTGTTCTTTGTCGTAATTTGAACGGTTATACGAAGCAGACCGTGTATTGCGTTCCGTCTCACATCCACTGTATAATGGACTGTTGGTAAATGTTCAATTTCAATCTTGTTGTTTATTGAAAATCATGGCCCATGACCCTCAGTTCAGTTCATACTATCATAACTTACTTTTGTGTAGCTCTGAGCTATTCCACTGGGGTGTAGTTTAACTGCTGCAATCCCTTTTCGGTGTCTGCTCACTGTACTGATGCTCGAATCTCTCTCTTCGCTCCTTGTTGTTATCTTGTCTCGCGAGAGCTCGAATCTAGTGACCGGAATATCCTTAGTTCAAAGTTACCCTGGCTTTTTGATTGCCCCTTATTAGGCATGGGCAGCGTGGCAGTTTGTTTGCCCTCGTGCGTCCGAGTTGCACGGCAGTTTTGCACTGAAATGTAGTTATTGTTATCCCTACCATCAGCTTTGCTGCTCGTCGTTATGTATGGTGAGGCTTCAGGTTAAACATTAGAAAAACCGTTTTTATTGTCCATCTTCCGGCCGTTGAAAACTGTTTTTTGATCTTCGGGGCGATCAGTTGGCTGCTTATGGCGTTTAGGGCATACTGTGAGTGGGTCAACAAACTGATGCATAAATGAACAAAGAAGCCTAAGCAACTTTATTCAGCAAGCATGGCGGAGGTACTAGAAGTTTTATTGGAATGAATTCTGTTGTTAAAGCCCTCTTGAACAAAGCACCTTGACAGGATACTGTCCACCTTAAAAACATTTTTATGGGATGGGGGGTGGGACAACAATGTAATATGTACTTGTCAGGATGGTTGACGACTCACACTGTCGATTATTATTATATTTTGTATGCAGTCTGTACCCGAACTTGATCAGCTGGATCATCAGATTTATCGTGAGTCGCTATATGTGTATCTGAATGGAATTCTGTCAAATGCTTGCACTGTCACGAAGGGATCCCCTTAAGAATCCGTTTTACCACCTATATTGTTTCCTTATGCTATATCAACAGCGCTTTTCCATATTTTGTCTCCGGCATCCATACAGTTTCTGGCAATACGCCTCTACGTCGTCCATCCCGGTGTTCTGCTTCCCTACGGCTTCGTGACAACCATGTGCAGGCCATCGATCTTGCTAAAATCACTCACCTAGGTCCAAACACACGTTTGATCTCTGCAAACCTTCGTTTGTGTATTATGCCTCTGGGTTTCAGCTTTGTTTGTCCCCTGACTGTATTCTTCATCCTCCACCATGCTTTTTCCGCCCGCTAATGCGAAATCCTTTACGAAGAGTGCTTCCGATAAACCACGATTAGCTGTAAGAACCGCGTACTTGCTATACAGTGGTTAGAACGGCCTCAGTTTCTTTCACCGATGATTTGGGGCGATAGGATGAGTAGCTGCTCATTGGTGACGGTAGCTGATGTATTTGTTGTGTAAATACAGGGTTGTCAGTGGACTGTCAAGTGGGGGTTGGGAAGGGATCTATGCATTGGAGGCAATAGTTTGGATGCACAAGAGCCATCGAGGGCGCGGCTGGGGCCTGACTGACAATGTCCCAGACCATTGATGTGTCCCGTCTCGGGGTCCTCATCGAAGGAGACGGTGATGACCAGAGCAACTAAGTTCGTGATGGCTCCGTCTCGGGGTCCTCATCCAAGGAGACGGCGATGACCAAAACAGCTAAGTTTGATCGTGATGGCTTTTATACTTCGCCGTCAAATCACTGTTTGGCCGCCTTTGGCTCGTTTCCACCCTTCACGTGTTTATGCGAAAAGAACCCTTCAAGGGAGTCGGTCGACATAGAAGGACGATAGGGCTTTTCTTTTGTGTTTCTATTGACTTCCAGGTCGTCCGCGATCAGCTTGGCGAACTTGGTGTACGTAAAATTTCCCGGTCCACTTGGTGGATTTGTGGCTTTGGCTATCGAGGTCGTGAGTGACGACTGAGTCCACAATTAGGCAGGTCGCTTTTTGATGGAGTGAGGCTTGAGGCTGGCAGCTTCACATTTTCAGCGGTTTGGAGGTCCCGTCAACGCCCTCGTCCTCGACTTCAACTTGAACGCTTGTGGTTGATCTTCCAGTGGACTTTGCCACTCTTTTCTGCAGCTTAGAACTTGTGAATCGAGTGTAGATTGCATCACGGCGACCTTATCTTCGTTGAACATTGTCCTCGCGAAGCCTGCCTTGCCCAGAGCATCAATGTCGTTGGCAGTCGAGGGGTCTGCGATGGCTGAGTAGAAACTGCGGCTGGGTGCATCAGCGTGCTTTTAAGAGCACCATGTAGATATGATCACCTAGTAGCATGACGTATGGGTCCGGTCCCACCCAATTTCGCAGTGACATTTTCCGGGCGTGAACGAACCATGCGGCAGAGTTTTTTTTCAGAATAGTTTAGGTTTCCAAATGTCTTTGTCCATTAGTGAACGTTCAGTTAGTGTTTCATCTCCGGGGTGTGAGGGGCGGGTAAAGGAGACTCAGGCAGCGCGTAAGTTACGATGCTGGAGAGGAACGGTACTAGAAGATACCATCGTCTGACATCACTTGGTGTGGTATACACGCATCCACATAATGAGTCATGTTGAGCCTTAGTAGGTAGCGGGAATTCAGGACCGATACTCTTCATTGCCAATCTGCCCCAATTTCTGACGATAAATGGAGCTAAAATCATATTTCACTTCGAGGAAAATGTCCATCGTTTGCCATTGGAAGGAGTGGCGCAGTTCTGGCGCTTTTCGTAAAGGTAGAGTCGATGCAACCCCGGAGTGGGTGAAGCCCATCTTGGTTCTCGTGAGATCGACCATCCAGATGCAGGGCCAACCCTCGTAGGCCAGCACCAGAAACACCTCGGAAGCCATGGCCACTAGAGTGATGCCCCAGTGGTTTTCACACGGTATGTGCGCGAGATAGCTCAGTGGTTAAGGCACGCATTCACTGACTGAAAGGTTCTTGGGTTCAAATCCGATCTCTGCATATCGACCGCTCCTGTCTTGGGTTGAGCAACTTGACAGTATCTTAGCCCAAGTGTTTCTTCGGATGGTATGACACCCAGGCATATAGAGTCTAGTATAACTGAACGATTATTTTTCTCCACACCATATATTTTTGCGCACTTTTCAGGAATAGCAATCGCCACCCAGACGCTCCGTTCTGTCGGCACTGTAACTTAATCTTACATTTTGGAGCACAGTCGTCACGTTACTAGGGGTGAACTTACCACTTCCTTTGAAGAGTACAAGGTACAAACCGTCTGGACGGGGTGGTTTGTCACATCGAACCATTGAAACTGTACGGCGGTCATTCACTGGTGGTGGATTGGCGTTGGAGTTCCGTTCAGCTGTTCAGCTTAGCATCCTTCGGTGCCCAACTGCCATGCCACCAGAAAGAAGCACGAGGGCTTGGAAACTACCAGGTTGCCCAAGCATAGACATGGAAATTATGAGGCAGAGGTTGGGTTCGAACCACAAGCCTTCCGGTCACTAGATTTGCGCTCTAACCAGTAAGCCATTTCATCTTATGTGGAATATATGCACTTGAGCCCTACATTGATTCATCACACACATGCCCATGTCGGAGGGGTTCATTAATGAGCCTCTCATGTGGCTTTTGTGGTGGGCCGGGGGTTAACTTCGTCCAGATGCCCAGGGAATATTTGTCAAAATTGATATCGGGGTGGCGTCGACTTGCACACTCTTGAGTAAGAACCCGACTACACATAATGCAAGTGGAAGGACAAACATTATTGGACGGTAGTTTGTCCCCACTCAAGGGTACACATGCCCCCGTATCTTCCACATTAATTCAAGATTTTCCATACATACAGGCTACTTCACCTCCGGCATAAGCTGGACAATCCCGAAACATACCTATCATCCGGTCTAGAACGTCAGGAGGTGTTTTCACTCAGTACCATCAAGTCATGGACGGGCACGGACCACGTGTTCTTCGCATAAATGCTGGATACTACAGCAAAGCAGTTGCACAAACCGCCTGGCAGCATTCAAGTTCCCCTACATCGCAAATACACCCGTGCCGCGAGGTGCAACCACGGTTCGGCGATTTTGATTGTAGTCCTAAGGAATCGGCTTTTTTGTGTCACCTGGTGTCTGCTGTCTGCAATAAAAACAGTATTCTATATTTCCACTCTTCTGATTATCCTTTCCAGCACCGATGAAGTATGTAATAATCACGGCCGACGACGGATTTTATGCGGAAACTCGAGATGCTGGTATCGTGCGCTGCCTTCAGAATGACTCAGGCTTTGGTGTCACTGATGTGTCAGTGCTCATGAATGGATGTGTTGCACGGCTGCTTATTCAGTTGGCTCCATCCGCCCGTCCTGGATCGTCGGTACTATTCAAGCAACTGCAACAGTCCAGGTTAATTCCAGGTATGCACGTTTTCTGTGTTCATTTTTGTTTCCTGGCCCTCATAGTGGTTAATAGCGTCAGGTGTTTTGTGATTGTTGTTACAGGAGTCTAGTCTATTAAGTAGCCCAGGTATCAATTGAGTTGCGAATTCCGATAACCAATCGTGCTATGTATGCAGGAAAATAGTCAAGTAAACATCATTATATATGCTTCTGAATGACGAGGACTGAATGAACGTCTCGAAAGTGGCCGTCGACTACCTTCCTAGACGTGTGTTTTCAACAAACGACGTGATACTGAAATGCACTGCTACACAGCTGCTCTTTTTTCTGAAACACCGAATTTGTAAATCTGGATGCGTTTTGCGGAGTGTGTACATGTGACGAACCGGTCCCAAACTTTGTCAGTAAACGGAGGTCCATTTAGTTACAATGCGTAATTTCGGTCTTTAGGTTTTTCGAGCCTTTCATCGGCCTTTCGATTGTTCCTGTTTTCTACTTGTGCATCTGAACAATGGTGTTGCATCTGGTCTGCACATAGGTTCCTGCTCCAAACCTATACGATGACTGGGCGGCTTGATTTTTTACTTGATATAGGGCTCTCAAATGCCGTTTAATTACCCCGGAATAGATTGTCTCCCACAGTTTTGTCCTCCACTAAATGCTTGAGGCACAACCACATAGCTCGTTGTAACATTGAATACAATTTTCGCCCGAAGACATGGTCGTTTACTTAAGCTGACATGCGGATTCCTTTGGTGTTCAAGATGGCTGTGATTCGAAAGTGTCACCAATTGGTCCTCAGGACTCGGGCTTTGATACTGTCTCCCAGCAGGCTGGCTTTAAATAATCTTTTAGTTCGTAAAAGTACGGGATTGGAAGAAAAACTTGAGAATCAGTTATCGTTTCTACTCAGCGGGTGAATCACAGTGTATCAGCTACCTAGTGTATTTCGCTACCATTTGCTTCAACTCCATTTTCCAGCCTTCAGCTTGTCTCTGGATTCACTGGCGTCTATTAAATTTTGGCTGCTCGTTTCGGTGGTACAAAACCCCACCCGTTTTCTAGCCCAATCTACTTAGGTTTCTCCCACTCTGGCCGTATTGTTTATCGGAGTAGACTGATGTGAAGTTCGCTGGTTTGGGCCTTTACGTTGCTCCATTGATAGGGGATTTTGGCCATAATATTACCGTGGCTTCTAGAGATATCAAACACAAAGGCGTTCTCACTGGTTTTCACCTATTTGTAGTGGTTAACGGCCCTATGGAGTCCAATTCCAATACTGCGGATCATTTGTACATATGGCGTTGCT